TTATCCTGCCAAGTTAGTTATTATGCTAAAATTCAGATTAACTAGAGAGAAGAGAAATGCAGTGAAGGGTTAGAAGAATAACTGTTTAAACAGTTATGCTACTTAGAGGCACTTAGGAAGCTGAACCAGCCGAAGCTGCAACCAAGATCACTAGCCACACTTTTCACTACCCTGCCTGCCCAAGCTTACAAGTCGTATCAACCTATAAGGGGAGCAGGGAGAGGCAGAGAGCACTTCCACTTCTTTTCCAAAGAAGAAGAAGAAGAAGAAGAAGAAGAAGAAGAAGAAGAAGAAGAAGAAGAAGGAGAAGAAGAAGAAGGAGAAGAAGAAGAAGAAGAAGAAGAAGAAGAAGAAGAAGAAGAAGAAGAAGAAGAAGAAGAAGAAGAAGAAGAAGCAGCGGCAGTGGCAGCATCTTTGACTAATTGCCTGGAGCCACTTCCTACTCACCACAAGCTAAAGGTGAACCATTTGAATGCTTGCAAAATCTTACTTAGATCTCAAAGGAGCCACTTTGCAGTTGCAAATATACTGCTTTAAAATGTTCAGACAATGGAGTCTCAAAATATGTTAAGAAGCAACCTGCCTTTTACCCCAAAGCATCAAGATGCTTGCCAAACATTAGGCACAATGGCTGTGCCTGATGTAAACGACAAAGAGGCTGCAATGCTAAAAGGGTCCACTGTGTGACCAGACCACGGTTCAGGAAAGGGAAAGAAGAAAACAGTGCAACTGCCACAGCTTATGGTATTCAGAAACCACGAAGGAGCTCTTTCGCGCTCACTGTGGCATGCACAAGAGCACGCCACAGCCAAATGACCTCGCAAACCCTCTTGTCCAGCAGAAAACATATTCAGTGCAACAGCGTTTCCTGGGCAATTTGTCCAGGAAATGACTTGGCATTGGGACCAAGTGCTGCAGGAACTGGCCAATGAGCTTTGTACATCCCTGGACTGTATTTGGGAAAGAGAAACTTGCACTGTTTGAAATGGCCGTAGGCAGACAACAAAATGTTGTCACCCTATGGTTTTCCCCCTCTTTATTCATATTAGTTAATGGTCTAGCCAGTGTTCTAAAGCTGCTCAAAATTTGCTCCCCTTTCGTTTCCTACAAAATATGCATTGCAAATAAAAAATGTCAGCCTCCTATAGAAAGCTAGAATTTATTCATACTGAGGGTGTAACCCTAAACAAATTCATTTGAGAGCAAGTCACCCTGAACTCAACTTACTTCTGAGTAAAGAGTAGAATTGTGCTGTTTATTGCTTAAGCAAATGTGTGATATGTTGGTGGCAAGGGAAAAATACTGTAGGTATAAAAAGGAGAATTTCTAGATGCCAAGATCCAAGTCTGGGGCAAGTACTCATTGGTGAGAGAACCCCAGCAGAGTTTTCACATCACAAAATATGCAGCAAAGTAAAGCATAGAAATATAGGCTGCTAGACCTTTAAATTATCCCCCTGTAAATTCCAAAAAAAAAACAAAACCCTTTTCCTCATCATAGAAAAAGACCACACATTTGGTCAGTTAAAAAATGGTTTACTTACAAACTCTGCAAAGATCATATTCATGTGCTTTTCCACACAGCATTCAGAAGAAGTTGCAGGCAGTAAACCTGACTTAGTTACAGTGGTAAAAGTTCCTAAATTATTTGTATAGGAATTCAAGAAAGGCTTGTTAAAGCCATGCGGTCTGAGCTTCGAGCAACCAAGGTAGGCTGACAGAAACAAAGTCTTGATTACCTAGTCCCACCCAAGGTGGGCTAAGCCTTGCAAGACAGCTTACTCTATGGTCTTAATCCCTTCATGCATAAATTAGACCTAAGCATGTAGGTTATTTGAGGCTGGTTATCCCACAGGATCCACTACAGATTTCTTAAAACTTTTTTTTTTAATGAGCTGCAATGTAGAGTGTACCACACAGAGACACAAGGGAGCAAAGGTGAAACTTGATAGAGCTTTTCATAACAAATGAGGGCAAGAATATCCATTTGTGTATCAGAGAGGAACTGGACTTTTTAACTTTTATTCGATCTTGAAAGCACAATTGTGCAACTCCATTTGATTCACTATGCACTGCGACACACTGCCTTTGTGTTTACAGATCAAAATGACTGGAAGTTTCTTCCACGTTGCCCTTTGCCACTCTTCACTCAGTTTCCAGTTGTTTTGTAACTCCATTTCTTTCCTTTGCTAACATTCAATACACCTAGCCCATGCAGCTTGATACTCTGGCTGGCAGGCAGAGGCCCCTGCAATGAATATAATGGGACTCTGCTAGTGTCTCTACCCAGCAAGAACAGAGCAATACATCTGCACAGTTCCTGCCCCCCTTTGCCCGAAGTCACTCAGGTTGAGATTAGCACATCAAAAAAGCTAGACTCAAAGTGCTTCCCGACAGTCACTGTTTTGCAGAAGGGATTTCCCTGTATCAGGAGGTTTTTAATGTCTGATGTTTTATTATGTTTTTATATGTGCTAGAATCCACCCAAGAGTGGCTGGGGAAACCCAGTCAGATGGGTGGGGTAGTATTTTTTATTATTATTATTATTATTATTATTATTATTAGTATTATTAAAGCATGTATCAGAGATTTAGGTTGGTGCAATGCAACAAATTCACTTCTTAACACACTTTTCGCAGCTCAAAAAGCGACAGGGAAATGTAGGATAAATGACTGATTAATGGGAAGGCAAGCAAATCAAGATGAATGCTCATAGTCATACAACCACCCTATAAGCAAATCAGAGCGACCGCTCAACCAAGACTGGTCACAGTTTAATCACTACATAAGCTTTCTGCAGGTGGAGGGAACTCTATGAGGGTCTGGTGCAGCAGCAGAGCCAAACTTAGGAGTAAGGGGCGGCTCCAGCCCTGCGTGCTTAGTAAAGCGGAAAAGAACTGATATATGTGCCACCATATACAAAGCTGTCGGTATTCTGAGATTCCACAAAAGCACAGAGTACAAAAGGTGGCACTGGGACCAGAAATTCAGCTTTACAGTTTTCCTTTCCTTTCCCTTAGCCTTTTAACTCAAGCTTCTAGTCCTTATGGGCAAAAATAAATTGGGATGTGTGGGGGCAGTGCTCAGCAAAGGCCAAGTGACATTTTCAGTTGGCTAGGTAGGAGATGCGGCTTCCATGCCCAGCCTCATCCCTTCCATGCCCAGCACAATCCGATAAATATCCACTCAGAAGTAAGTTTAATGATGCATGATCTCAGATGTGTTTAGGATTCCAGCCTAAATTATGGGAAAGAGTGAGTGAATATGCCTAATTTGCATTATGTACACAAGTCGCAAACAATGGGAGTTACCATGGCGTGGAATCTTTCCACTGTATTTTACAGACAGAGCAGTGCTGAAATAATGTCACAGGGTATGCAATATCACAGTGTTTTCCAATCTTCTGCATGCAAAGCATAAGCATTACTACTTAGCTCTGGTCCTTTTCCTGGGGTTTGCGTCACATTACATTTTTAAGTGTGCAGATGTGCAGATAAAATATAATGCATCAAGCAGCTTTAAATGTGCTCATTTGGTTCCATCTAGGAATATACATATACACATACAAATCACCAAGCACATAAATACATATATACATATATGCCTGCATATACACATACTGTACATACATATATATGCCCCTCTCACAGGTCTGTTTTAAGGATAGAAAGAAGGAGCACCATATATGCTGTTTTGAACTCCTAGGAGAAAAGCTACAATATACAAAATAGTAGCCTTCTACCATTTTTTGTAGGATGAGCTAGTGTAGTACAGTAGCTAACAGTCTAATATAGGAATCAGGAATTCCTTGGTTCAAAACTTACCTCAGGCATGAAAATAGATAATATTAACCTAACCACTTTCTTTGAGCTGCAGCCTCCCATCTACAATATGCGAGTAATAAAACTGCCCTACCTTGTGGAGCTGTCGTAAGAATAACAACAATAATGTACCGATTTGAATACTAAAATCTTCTACATAAGCAAGCAGTATTAATCATTCACATGTAACAGAACTTCTGGCAGCATTGTCTAAATTTACATCAGACTCAAGCTGTTTGTCATGCAAAGCTACAACATACATTATTGGACTTCAGTCCGTTATTTTTGTCAAGGAGACAAAAAGTAAGCGTTATCAGTTTGTAATCTAGTACATACAAACTGTGTTATCATGCAATACAGAATCACTGGTTGCTTCCTCAGCCTGAATAAGAGCAACTTTTAGCATCAAAAGGGCAAATTTGTCACCCGTCTGATACACTGGGATATATCCACAGTAGGGTCATGTTAACAGACAGACCACCCTCGGGACCATCGCTCGGCGGAAGGAGCCACCTGTCGAGCATCCGTTGAGAACTGCTGCACTAAGTTACCTGGACACTTTAGCAGGTGGCATCCCTGAAAAAGGAAGACAACCAGAAAACAGCCAGGTATGTTTCGATCCATGCCGAGATCACAAAGCCACCCTGGGGGGGTTTGCCAATGACACCGCCACCAGCCCTAAACAGCACAGAAAGAAACAGCCCCATCGGGATCCGAAAATACTTATGCACGCTCAGGGGCCAAAGCAAGAAACAAGGGCCGGCCGCTGTTTTATAGCCGGGAAGCAGCGGCACCTCCTGCAAGGCAAATGGGATCAACTCCGTCTCGCGCCCCAGTCCACCTCTGCAAGCGGACACGGGCGGGCAGCAACCCGTTCGGGGCCGCCCCTCGCCTTCCTGGGCATGGGCACCGACGGGCTCCTGCTCAGCACCATCCCGGCAAGCCCACCTAGAGCTCCCCCCGAGCTGCTCACCATGCGGATCTGCGTACTAATGAGGACGTACGGCATGATGCCCCGCCGCGAAGCGCTGCCCTCAAGGTGGCCGCCGCTCCCGCACGCCCCGCTTTTGCAGCGCAGCGCCCACGTGACATCCTGCCACTCCGCGGCCACGCCCTCGCTCCGAGGAGCCAATCGGCGAGCGGGCTGCGGCGCTAGAACGCGAATTGCTTGGCCTTGGGCAGCTTAAGGGGCGCGCGACGGCGTTCGGTAGCTTTTGAGCTCGGAACTGGACTGCCAGGGGGTCGCGTGAGGGGGGGGAACCTCTCGTCTGCACCCTGCTGCGTTGCATACACGGGTGGGTCACCCCACAGCCACAAGGCTCCGCGGGGCAGAGGCTTCCTTCCCCACCGCCTTGAACTCCTCCGCGTCGAAAGCCGTGCACCGCCACCAACCCCCTCATCTGCTTCTCCCTTCAAGGCGTTTCTGTCGCCGCAGACGGACAAGAGGTTGGTGGGGCGGTGCCCCATATGCCCTCATAGACCAGTCTCCGTCGGCCCCCCCCCCTCTGTGAAATATACGGCATGATACACGTGCCGATCTTTCAGTGCATGTCACAAAAAAAGGCATGCATAGGACTGCAAACTTTAGTTGGGCTCTCCCGCTGAAATCGATGGGAATGAGAAGCATTTCAGTTTGTTGTTGTTGTTGTTGTTTAGTCGTTTAGTCGTGTCCGACTCTTCGTGACCCCATGGACCAGAGCAGGCCAGGCACTTCTGTCTTCCACTGCCTCCCGCAGTTTGGTCAAACTCTTGTTGGTAGCTTCAAGAACACTGTCCAACCATCTCGTCCTCTGTCGTCCCCTTCTTCTTGTGCCCTCCATCTTTCCCAACATCAGGGTCTTTTCCAGGGAGTCTTCTCTTCTCATGAGGTGGCCAAAGTATTGGAGCCTCAGCTTCACGATCTGTCCTTCCAGTGAGCACTCAGGGCTGATTTCCTTCAAAATGGAGAGGTTTGATCTTGCAGTCCATGGGACTCTCAAGAGTCTTCTCCAGCACCATAATTCAAAAGCATCAATTCTTTGGCGATCAGCCTTCTTTATGGTCCAGCTCTCACTTCCATACATCACTACTGGGAAAACCATAGCTTTAACTATACGGACCTTTGTTGGCAAGGTGATGTCTCTGCTTTTTAAGATGCTGTCTAGGTTTGGCTGGATGTAATAGAGTCAGTGCTTTTTCCTGTAAAAAATGTCTCATTTTGACTCAAGAAAATTACCATTTTATAGGGAAAAATAAATACAGTAAACGGACAAAAGTACAAAGATTCACAAAATGTTTAGGGGTATGCTACTCCTGCATCCCCCCAGAAAAAAACCACTGAATATAATTAAAAATATTTACCGCAGTACATGACAACATTAATCTGCCCTCGCTGGGGTTTCCATTCCTTCCCTGAAGGAGCGGGCATGTAATTTGGGGGTACTCTTGAATCCTTTGCTGTCGCTTGAAGCTCAGGTGGCCTCAAAAGGAGTGGCTGTGTGCCAGAGGGCAAGTGGGATGGCGGGCCCCTCCCTCAATGGTCAGTTAGTTAGAAAGAAAGACAAAAGGGAAATTTAGGGTGGAGGTTTGTGGCAGTTTTTAAAAGTCAGCAAGCTGAAGAGAGGGCCATGATTTTGAGGATGTCTAATTTTTTATTTGAATCTAGAACTACGTCTATGGGTGGCGGGGGCAGCGGCCGTGCTCTGAACCCCTCCATGGCAGGCTCAGGTTGTATATAAGTGTAAATAAACCATATTATCTTAAAGAAACCATAGTCTCCGCTATGCCTCATTTCCAAAGGAAACACGAATCCTGGGTAAGTGCCTGGACCCCTGGAATCTAGCACTGTTGTGGAGGTTGTGGTGGCTTGTAACAATACTCTTCATAGACTTCCTTTAAATAAAGCAATAAGTTTGAAGGTTGGGGGAGCAATCTTTCACTCATTTTTTTTGCTTTTGAACCAGGAGGTGGGGCTGTGCACAACAGAATAATAATATTGAAATAGCAAATGTGGGACACAGAACAGTCTCTACATATTCATTTCCTTTGTCTTGTATTTATTATTTTATTATCTTTGAAGGAAAAAGCACAAACTTCTCAGGGTCCCAAGGTATAGTATGAGGTCACATGAGGCCACCGTCTTTCTAAAGCAGATGAGGTCTGGATCTGGGTCAGTGCTAGGGTGGGTGAGTACCCGAAACCACATATATGCTGCCTTGAGCTCCATGATGGAAGAAATATAGAATAAATGATTCATTTGTAATTTAACAGAGCATCTCATTTTCTGCTTGCACTGTTGCTTTGTTCAGTCAGCATAACTTTAAATAAACTCAAACATTACAAAACACCCTAAGCCTCAAGTAACCTTCATCCAAAGGAAACCAAATTCAGGTGTGTGCTGTGCCCCCAGAACTTTTCATCACTCAGAGAAGTGGGGTGAACATAACAGCAACCAATTGTGCTCTGAGCTTTTTCATGCAATTCACATTTAAGAAGGCTTGAGGTGATTTAGCTGCCTCATAAATTATGGTTTGGTTCCTTTACATAATATTAGAGATAGATGGCTTTTTGAGCAAGATTTGTGTGTGCCTTTTCTGTTGTTGCAACAGCTTTTTCAAATTAATGCTTTCTTCTTCACTCTATAAGTGCTACAACTAATCTTTGAGTTTATTAAGATTGTTCATAGTTTCTTGAGATCAGCCAACATTGTTTAATTAAGAGAAAGAGAGCTTCCTACACAGAGCGAACATCCTTTTTCTATCCTTCCTTTCGGTATAAAATATATTCGAGGCAGTTTACAAACAATAAAGCAACTACAGTATTACAATGATTTGCAACAAGGCTAAAAACAATAAAGCAACTTTTACAAAGTTTGCAACAAGGCTAAAAGCAGCAGTAGCAGTAAAATCCTTAAAATGGGGGGGGGGGAATCCCAAAATAGCTCCCTGAAATAAAACAGTATTTGCTTCTTGTCTAAATAAAATAAACCTTCTTGGGAGGCTGCACTATGGCCACTCTCTAGCTCTTAAAGGGAGAGGTAATACTTGAGATATACTTGGTCCAAGCTATGTCTGTCTATCAAATTAGCATCCGCTTGGCTGATAAAGGATTGGTGTGATCTGATCTGTGCACAGCTCTGTGGGTTAGAGTGTGGGGCTGATAATGCCAAGTTTGCAGGTTCGATCCCCGTATGGGACAGCTGCATATTCCTGCATTGTAGGGGATTGGACTAGATGATCCTCAGGGTCCCTTCCAACTCTACAATTCTATGATTCTGTTATCTGATCTACCAACTCCAGACAAGCCTGTCATCCACATTCTGCACACTGAAGCTTCCAGTCTATCTTCAAGGGCAGTGCATTACATTACAGAAATCTAATGTGAAAGTGATTAGAGCAGGAGAAATTGAGGCCAGGTCTGGTTTTTCCAGGAAAGGGTGCAGGTGGTGTAAAATATAAAAAGGTCAAAGGTCATCCTGGTCACAGCTGCTGCCTAGGTATCCAGGAACAGGGCTGGGTTGAGAAAGAACCCTCAAGCAGTGGATCTGATGCTTCAAGAGAAGAGCAACTGTATGTGTACCAGTGATGGGAATGCACTGGAGCCTGAGTCAATGGTAATGTGCACACAGTCTGAGCAACCAGTGATGCATTCAAAAACGTTTTCTGTTGTGGCTCCCCAACAATGTACAGTAACATCCTACCCTGGAAGCTCAAATGGTGGAGACCATGATGAGTTTCTACCATCAAGTAAAAACCTTATTCTTCCAGGAATTTGAGGTGAACCAATGAGGCCACATTTTCATTTTTTTTAGACCATTCTGTTTCTTTTTTATTGCTTTAAGTTGGGTATTTTTTTGTAATTGTTTTTCATGATATTTTGGAAATTACACAGACATTGCTATAAATGAAAAAAGACTGAATACAAATCTAGATAATAATTACAAAAAGTTACATGGTTCGTTCCTTCCAACTCTATGATTCTATGAATTGAGTTGATAATCTTGAAACGCGCACTTAATATATTTGGATGACTAAAAACATCATTTGCATATTCTGTATTATTATTTTTTTCATTTTTATCCCCAGGGTCCCACTTCTTTTGTTTCTTGGTTTATCTGGGAAAACCTCTTTTGTGTTTGTAGAAACTTTCAACCATCACCATTTTACTGGAGTTGAAGAGATCATTACAAGATGAAAAGTCTGACAGTGTGTTGACACTGCAACAAAAAGTCACGTGCAAATATAACCAGCCCTGGGAACATGAAAGTTATTATTTTTTAAAAAATCAATTTTTTACTAAAATTTGGCACATAATTAAATTAATTAAAGTAATTACATTTCCTTTTAGTATTCTTCCTAATTATTTAAGCTTACCTTACTCTAGAATATTACCTTGTCACTGTCCTTTGATCCTGCTCCATGAAATGAGGTCATGGATTTGTGTGTGTGTGTGTTTATGATGGAACAATGGTTTTCATTTTGATGTCATGAGTAAAGAATTAAGGACTTTTCCTGTTAGCATGAAGAAATAAAATCAAAAACAAGAAACATCTGGGAGAGAAAACTCTAATAAGTAACATTTTGTACTAACCCAATTACTAAAAACAAATTAAATCCCGACAATGCTACTCTGGCTACAAGATGGGCTGGCTGACCCATTCAGGATTTCCTTATCTCTTATATGCATTATTTCTTTGACTTAATCACTGTCGGGTTTTGTTTTGACCACAGAAGAGCATAACTGAAAAAGGATGGGGCTAATTTAATAAGTATCACGTCTAAAAGAAGGGCAATAGCTCAATAGTAGGAAAAGCTTAATTCCTGACATCTGTTATGAAAAGGGTCTCAGGTACTGAGCTGGAAGTCCTGAAAAGTAACTCCCAATCTTAGTAGGGAATACTGTGCTATGTCTGACTCAGGGCAGTTCCTTTCCCCACACCTGTCTTTCACAGTGGGCAATTTCTAGAAACTTCAGAGATGCTGGACTCAATGCAGCCTGGGAGTCACACCTTCACACCTATAAGCCTGGTCCCCAAGCCCAGATGTCTGGAAGCTGTTTGTTGTTACTTCTGACTTGAATGATGAATATTACCATTATTTTATCACCTTCTGTTTAAAGCTGCAATCCTATCCACACTTATAAGTAGCTCTTACTGAATTTGGTTTAAGTGTGCATAGGAACTGGCCGAATTTGCCTTATAACACTGAGGGTGTTGATCACGAACATGGCAGTTCTGAATGGGTTTTTACCATAGTCTGACTCTGAATATTGTTGCCTGGTGGGTTTAGTTTAAAGAGAACAGTTTGATATTACTTTCACAAAGGCTGATGTTCCAACAACAGCCAAGTCCCATAAACACAGTCCAAGCTATGATTTATAATACTGTCTAGATAGGATCTTTAATATCCGCAAAGGCCTAACTTCAAACTCCCGCTGTCTTGAGCCTCTGTTATTCCTTCCTTGATAACAAACGGATAGTGAATAATAATTTGAAGGCTTGCAGCAACGTAGTTTCCTTTTTCTACTCACCCTTAGGGATTTGTCAGATGAAATCTATTCCATTTGCTTTCAACCCAAAGCTCTTACGTCAGCAATGCAACACGACAAGCCAAGAGCAGATTTCTAACAGTATTATATAGCTGGAACACTCACAGACTTCAGGGACTGCCTTATGTCCTGATCTGATATTATCTGTATGATGCAAAGCCAAATATTGTTTACTGGAAAAAAATGGAAGTTTGGTGACTTGCAGGTGTAATCAACTTGCCTCATGGGATTTCTATACATTGTTTATAACAAAGTCTTGCATCACCAAACTTTGTGACTTCTAATAAGGCATGTTCTGGCATGAGCCCCACCTCTCAATTTACCCATGTGCATTGGCAAACCCACTTTGTCAGTGACCTTCCCATATTGCACACAACATGTTTCCTCCTAACCCAGCCGGTAACAGACCGTCCCAAGTTGTGAGGGGAAGATCTGCAAGGGGCTTTCATTGACTTTAAATTGAATGTGAATTGAATTATCTTGCACAATTAGGGACCCCGCGTTATCAGTGTTCCTGATTATAGTGGCGCATATATGGGCATCCCTGCTGCCTTCCACATTTGGAATGTAGGAAGCTGCCTTATACAGAGCCAGGTCATGGTTCCATCAGCCTTTGGTCGATAAAGCATTCTATGGCTTTTTAAATGTTTTTGTGGGAGGGGTTTATTGGTTTGTTTTTGTCTTAAGTATTTTGTGTTCTCATTTTGTATTTTTATGTTGTGAACTGCCCTGTAATCTTCAGGTGAAGGGCAGTATACAAATTTAATAAATAAAAAATAAAAATAATCCAGATGGGGTGATCTGATAACCATTATAAGCAACCAGGACCTGGTAGCCACTATGCTGTATTAAGACTAGCAGAAAGACCTGACAAAAATGTTGGGCTTGGCCTGGAATTCTTTGGCCTAGGGCAGTGATGGGCAAACTTGGCCCTCCAGCTGTTTTGGGACTACAACTCCCATCATACCTAGCTAACAGGACCAGAGGTCGGGGTGATGGGAATTGTAGTCCCAAAACAGCTGGAGGGCCAGGTTTGGCCATCACTGGCCTAGGGTGATCCCTAGATGTCCAATTAATAAAATGACATTTTCAGGCTTACATTGAATGGATAACTTTAAAATATGTGGTTATTTTGAGGCTGTTGTAAGTCCCCAGGGGGAAAGTGTGCTGCCACAGAAGCTATAAGATTAGATATGTGTGATTGAAATTTCCCAATGTGCAGATAGTCCTATTCATTTATTAAATCTGTATCATAACCTCCAGGGTGTATGGGGTTTTAGACGGGTAGTACCTCTGGTGGGGGACATGCTTCTTCTGGGGTAGTCTTTTGGTCCCCACCCTGCACTCAGCTCTCATCTGTAGCTACTAGAAGCTGTCAGCATGCAACAGCAGCCATACCCCAGGAACAGCTATGGCTTTGACTGGCCAGCTAAATCAGGTGAGGGTAGCCGATCGGTCTCAAACTCTTGGGGAGTTAGGGACTTTGCTTGTGTGAGAAGAAAGGCACATTGAACCGATGAGACCAATAGTAGGTCCAACAGCCAAGAAGGCGGTTTCTACACGTCCTGTAGAGGGAAGTGAGAGACAGATCCGGCTCATCAACCTAGGAAGGTAGCCCATCTAGGAGACAGAAAACACTGATCCTAAACTTCCATCTGTCAGTCTTCCGCTAAAGAGTTGAGAGCTGCATAGGCAGAGAGAACTCCCTGCCGCTTCACTCCCAAAAAACTATACCCATATGGTCCAGCATCTTGTTTCCCACAAATCTTCGCTGTTTTTTGTGTTGAATATATGCTATAAGGTAATTTATGGACCTAATAGGTATCTAAAGCCATTTGCCACTGTTGCTGTATGTAGGTTTTTTTAATTTGTTTTTTTCTTTCTTATATTTTGGAAATGCACATCCAGTTTTTTCCCTTTATTTTTTTGGGGGGGGGCCCAAGAGAGTGGGGTCCTAAGCTATAGCTTGTTTAGCTTACACGTAAATCCGGCACTGCTCCCAGCCATTGATGCTCCCAAACCAATCCGAAGCCCTTTCAGATTCTTGCACCCTTCGACATCAGGGCATCTCCCAATGCGGCAAGTTAGGGAGAGAACAGCCTCTGTTGTACACACCACTAGCAGACGTCTAGGCAGACGCCCGGCCGCTCCTTATTACACCCGCCCCCCGCCCCGGTCTGGTGTTTTCCCCACCCGTGTTTCCTTATATTGCTCAGGCATAGGCAAACTCGGCCCTCCAGCTGTTTTGGGACTACAACTTCCATCATCCCTAGCTAAAAGGACCAGTGGTCAGGGATGATGGGAATTGTAGTCTCCACTGTGGGAGGCAGTAATGCTCCTGGAAACACTTGCGCTCCGCTCCTGCTTGTAGGCTTCTCACGGGCGCCTGGTTGGCCACCGTGAGAACGGGACGCCTGCTTTGCCCGGCCGCTGGTCTGATCCGGCACGGCTTCTCTCTACGTTCTAGAGGCGTGACCTCCTTTCTCTCCGTCAATTCTCCGCGCCACCTTTTCACCGTCGGAGGGATGAGCCGTACCCCAACGTCATTTCTTTGCGCCGGCGAGAGGACTGGCCTGCGGCGGGGTAAGGGGGGAACGCGGGGAACGAGGAGGGCGGCGGACGGTGGCCGCACGAGGACATATCCAGCGAGAAGCGCAGCGGTAATTTAAATAGCTGGAGAAGAAGCGCTTTGAAGTTTTCACTCGGCCTCCTCAAGCGGCTCGCGCGCAGCAACCGTCGCCTTGCGGCTTTCCTAACTCTTTGGGCGGGCGCGCGGCCTCCTTTTCGAGTAGGGAAAGGGGCGCTTGCCTGTTGAAGCATCAGTTCCCGGGCACATCGAACTACACACAGGCAGAGGGAGTGGGGGAGACTGAAAGAGGGGCGGTGTAAGTCCCATACGTGCCTACTCTGGAGTAAACCCCACTGAGTTCAGTTGGCCTTACTCCCATGTAAGTGAGTGCAGGATTGCACCCTCCATCTCAATGCAGCCCAAGAGATCCGCTGTGGCGCAACGCAATTCTCTGCGGTGCCAAAAATCTATCTCTCAAAGCGTTTTGCTGCAAACAGACCAATACTGTAATGTGGCTCTTCGGAATTTAGAACTCGGCCTTCTCTGCGCATGCGCCTGGAGCGGCGGGAGATGCTGGGGCAACGCGCCTCCTGTCGCCCATGGGTGGGGGTCGGGGTGCGGGTGGGGAAGGGGCGTGTGCCTCAGTGCTGCGGCTCACCACTTCCCGCTATCTCTGAGCACACCCAGTGGGTGGCGACCCCTACATGCTCCTTCTTTCAGTAACGCTTGTGGTTTAAGAACCGCAGTGTCATCGCGGGGTCAGAGGCTTGGCCCAATTCTCAAATCGCCTGAGCTGGGTAGACAAGAGTTTAAAACCTGTTTGGTGGTTTTGGACCCCTAAGGCTCAGCATTTCTTATCTCGAAACACATCATGTAGATGGTGCTGACAAACCGTATTAAGGGGAAACTGGTATATTTACATGTAAGTGGGTTTAGATTTCTGTGTATTTGTGTATGTATTTATGCATGTATGTGAGTAAAGGTAAAGGTACCCCTGCCCGTACAGGCCAGTCTTGACAGACTCTAGGGTTGTGCGCCCATCTCACTCAAGAGGCCGGGGGCCAGCGCTGTCCGGAGACACTTCCGGGTCACGTGGCCAGCGTGACATCGCTGCTCTGGCGAGCCAGAGCTGCACACGGAAACGCCGTTTACCTTCCCGCTAGTAAGCGGTCCCTATTTATCTACTTGCACCCAGGGGTGCTTTCGAACTGCTAGGTTGGCAGGGGCTGGGACCGAACAACGGGAGCGCACCCCGCCACGGGGATTCGA